AATAGCAAAGGATATTCGGAGTTTGACAAGCCAACAGAGCGCGCCTTCAATGCTATCTACTCTTTTAGTATATACTAAAAAAATATATTGAGTTGTCAAAAGGTAAGTATAGTTGTGTCAGTTGAGCGATTTAATTTTTTTTTTACGATCTTTTTAAAACGCTGTTCTTTTTTCTTAAACACTATCTTGTAGTTTGAGTCATTTTGAAACCAACCTTTGCGACATTGCCGAAAAATCACTCCACTTTTTCTTGATTAATTTTTACCGCAGGAAATGTCCCGCATTTGGTCTACTTGACGAAAAGGAAACATATCTGTTTGAGATAGTTTGTTCTGATAAAAAGACAAAACAAAACCCTCACAGAAAATTTGTGTACGAGAAAGATCCCTCCCGTTCGACAAGAGCTATTCATGGTGTTTTGTGGTACACGAGCTTTCATTTATCTCAACATACCATGCTATGTAGACTTCGAGCAGTCCCTCTTCATCGGCGAGGCAAAGTAAAAAAAAAAAATTGGCGAAGAAAAATTATTATTAGGGCGTCGCGGGGAACTCTTGGAGCGACGCGGTGCGCCGCAGGAGCTCCATGAGTGAGGCGATCCAAAAGTACTGGGAAGGAGGGAGTGCTTGTAGTCTACATGCATGAGGTGATCAATAAACAAACCTCGGTAATTCTTCCATCTTTGAGCACAAGAATTTGATCCATTTGAGGAAGAAAATGAATACCATGAGTAACGAGCAATCGAGTCTGTAAAGAAAAACAAACAAGGCGAACTTCAAAATGATCAAACACTGTGGAAGTAGCAAGTCTTAAAATACACTGAATTCGCAAGGAAGGGTGAACTAAATTTCTCAAAATTCCTTGACTCGAATTGCGAGAGCAGTCAAAACACAGACTAGCCCTGGGATTGAGCCCGCCTGCGTGCTAACGTTTAAAATGGTGGATTGATCACAAAACAAATAACGCTACCCAGGGATTGAGCCCGCAAGCTCTCAAACATGAACTCCATCAAACCTTGTTTCGTAACATTCCTCGTGGCCCGACAACATTCTCAAAAATGTGTTTTCCAACATGTGAGTCCACAGCACTGAGCGGATCGTCCAACAGGTAGATATCAGCATTGAAGTACACAGCACGAGCCAAGCTTACTCGCTGTTTCTGTCCACCACTAAGATTTATACCCTGAAAGGAGAAAAATAATTATCAAAACAAAATGAAATTTTTAATACACAGAAAGGAAAAAGGGCTCATGGACCACGTAACTATCACCAACAGAAAAAAGGTAAATATTGTACGAAAAACGTAAGAATCTCGACATTTTTCTTGATTACTCTTTTTCCCATCTATCAACTTTATTTCTGGTCATAGTCTAAGAAATTAGATAGCTTACGGAGTGTGCCTACTTTGGTGTCGTCAAAAATTTGCCGTGTACTTTGACTTTTAGTGGTTTTAATGTTCAGATGTCATTTTGGACTGAGAACGGTCAGTTGAAAACCATAGCTCCTCTAAAAAGAAACAAATGACCATACCCTCTCTCCGATTTCTGTGGAGTCACCGGCAGGAAGAATTTCCAGGTCAGGTCTCAAAGCACAAGAGTCAAGCACGGTTTCGTAACGTGCAGAATCCATAGCTTTGCTAAACAGAATATTTTCTCGTAAAGTTGCGTTCTGTATCCAAGCTTGCTGGGCAACATACGCCACAGTTCCCTACAAATAAACAAATGCAATGTATTTTTAAAAAGTTGTTTTTAAAAGGGGAAAGTAAAGTTTTTCGATGGGAGAGCTTAGACCTTTGCACTCCAACATCAGTATCCATATTGTCCATACCGTTCTCTGCATATTTCCTTTGATACCGACAAGAAGAATTTGTTAAATTCCTTTTTCTTGCAATTTCAAAGTTTGGTTCAGCGGTACATGCTCCGAAACCCAAGAACAAACGACTGCAGCGCTTTTTGATGAGGAGTGGTGAAGCAAAATCCATAGTAAAGTCCTTGGCTATTTTGAAAGGGGCTTCACAAGAAAGCCATAAGGGGCACAAGAAAACGGGATGTTAACAACTTGAAGCGTGGGAAAAGTGAAACTGACCAGGTTGAGATTGGTTTATAGTTTGCTCGTTCAAGAAGTAGCTATCAGCATTGACAAGATGATATCGGCAATTGCTCCGGGTTTAGCTTCACGCGAGAGGAAAGCAATGTAAAACTTGCGCAATCCCTGATCACGTTTGAAAATTGTTGAACGCCATTCTACAGTACAGAGAATCTCACCTCTACAGAGACAATTCCTTCTACTTTCTCGGTATCTCCGAGGAGGGCAGAAAGCAAGGAGGATTTTCCGCATCCAACCTGACCGACTATGGCGACAAGCGAGCCACTTGGAATTTGCAACGACACCCTGAAAAAAAAAAAAAACTGACTGGTTAAGCTAGAAGTGTCAGATGTCCAAAAAGCAAACGTAAATTAAACCGTCCACATTGCGGGAATGTCAGTTACACCGTGCTCGGTCCGTGTTCGGTTCGCGCCCGGTCCGTGTCCGGTTCGAAATGGAAAATTCAACTGCCAATCATAAGTTTTTCTGAGTGCTCCTTTTAATCGTCAGTCCGCCGTTGAGCCGGAAAATCGTCGTGTCATTAATAAAGTTAAACCAGTGAATGACGTTCCCAAAGAAATACATGCTGGGTCTTTGCCTTTAATCCCCTTTCACGTTTTCATCATTAGCGCACGGTTGCGCATGCAGGAGACAGTTTTACTTCCATTTGTAAGCACTTCCAGTGTATAAAACATTGGCTATTTGCAAGTAATGCTCTTCCTTATCACCTTTAGTTGTTGGCAATTCGCCGCCAACTTCCAATACTCACTCTTTCAACACAGGCGCAGCCCTGCTGCTCCAGGTAAATGTACCATTCTCTATAGACACGGTAGAGGACGACACTGCAAAATAAAATACACGTAAACAAATGAAACACAATGAAAAGTCTGAAAAGAGACGTGCATGAGGCAGTTAGCAAAATTCGTCTGAGTTCGAAAGGCATTATGTCACGACAAAGTGTAGCAAAGAAGTTCGCTTTTTGCGGTACTTCACCCATTGCCTATTGTTGTTGTTGTTGTGATTATCGCTGTTGTTGCTTTGTTGTTGACGACCATGTTGTCTCTATAGTTGTTACTGTATTCAATGTTTTCATTTCTTCTGTTGTTACTTGACTGTGTTTCAGTCCTTTTCTGTCGCTCGTAAGGAAATAAACCCAGTTTCCACCCTCTCTCCATTTTGCTGAGCAGATCGTTTATTTATACTATCTCTTCAGAGCATTAATCCCTGCTAACAGATTACCATTTTATAAGTTGACGAACAGTTCATTGAGTGATCAGATCCGATGAATATACGAAGTTCATATATTTTGAACTGCGGTTATAGATACGTATGATCTGCTGGCCTGCTCCCAGTTGGCTTGTTAGCTCAATTGGTAGAGCGCTGCACTAGTATCGCAGAGGTCAGTGGTTCGAATCCCGTACAGGCCTGATTTTTTTCAGGTCTGATTTTCGCTATTGCTTAAATAGCGCTATCTACTGCGAGGATCGCACATCATACGTATCTAATACCGCAGTTCAAAATATATGAACTTCATATATTCATTGCATCTCATTTATCACTTTCACGGGTTTATTACGAATCAACTTAACGGCCTGCTCCCAGTTGGCTTGTTAGCTCAATTGGTAGAGCGCTGCACTAGTATCGCAGAGGTCAGTGGTTCGAGTCCCGTACAGGCCTGATTTTTTTCAGGTCTGATTTTCGCTATTGCATAAATAGCGCTATCTACTGCGAGGATCGCACATCATACGTATCTAATACCGCAGTTCAAAATATATGAACTTCATATATTCATTGCATCTCATTTATCACTTTCACGGGTTTATTACGAATCAACTTAACGGCCTGCTCCCAGTTGGCTTGTTAGCTCAATTGGTAGAGCGCTGCACTAGTATCGCAGAGGTCAGTGGTTCGAGAGAGGTGAGTTATTGAGTTACCTGAACGCAAGAAACAATGACATCAGGGAGCATGACAAGTGGGAATCGCATCACATTGAACAGCGCCAAGGCGACGAAAGCTTTAGTGGCTGATAACAAATGGCCAGTAAATACATAAATGGCAAATGTGGTAACTGCCACCTGTAGAAAGCAGAAAACAGAAAAAAAAAAATGCTCACAACAGTTTAGAAGAACATTTGCTAAAAAGCAATTGTCGTTAGAATTTATTATGATATCATATCGCTGGCAGCGCCCGTGGGCAATATGAACTGAATCCTGTGTTCTGATAGGCTACCCAAACGAACAATACCGCTCGGGATTGCCTGATAAACACAATAACCAGAAGAGCAAAAGAAAACCCAAAATGAAAACAAACAAACTGCTTTAAGCGCGGGAAAATGCAGGGGACCAAGTTATGAGTGGCGTTATTTTGCATCTGATTGGCTAAAAGAGTGGCGCGAGTTTTCTGAACCAATCAGAGGGCGAAGGAAGCAAAGCAATGCAATCTCGTAGCACTTCCAACACTCAATACAAAATTGCTCTTCATCGTTCGCTAGCCTTGCGTTCCTTGACTCGTTTGGTTTTTGAAAAAAGAAAACCTAGGAAATATTGATTAGGAACTTACTAATGTCGGCGCACAGCCAAAAGTAAACATAAATCCTGCCGCCCAGAAATCAGAATTCCTTAAGTATTTCAGCTCTTTTTTACGTTTTCTTTCCACCTCTTTCATGAAGGACTCCTCCCAAGCGTACAACTTGAGGACCTGCAAACAAACAATAATATCGATAAATACAACAAGTCGCAGTTAACTTATCGACTGACCGATCGAAACTAACTTTTCTCTTTCAATTCACCCACAAGTCAGACAATGACTGTCCCATTAGATCTATAAACCGTTTACACCCTGATCATTTTGCCGACTTCTTCTTGCAAAATACCAACAGTCACCAAAAATGTGAACTTGACCGTATGATCATGCAGTAAATATCATGCCCTTCACTTTGCAGATATTTACTTTTACAAACTTACCTTTATTCCGCTGAGAATTTCATTCATCAGTTTAATTCTTTCATCTTTCTCATTCATTTGTTTTACCTAAAGTTTCGTTAAAAATAGAAGGATTTCAAATAAAAAATTATTACAAATGACAGTGCGAAGACGTTAAAGGGAACTGTGATGGCAGCAGTATAAGTCAAAATCTACTACAAACCTAGAAGTGCTTGTTGTTGAGAACAACATAATCACCATCAAAGGTGCATGATTTATGAAAACCTGGCATGTTAACTTACCTGGAGAGTACCCATTCTACTTCCAAAAAGCATATTTAATGGAATAATTAGCACCATGACTCCTAGTCCGGCCAGAATGGAGATTCCAAGAGTACTATAGAGGAAGTACAGAGCGCCAGCAATCTGAAGTGGACTTGACCACAATGAGTTTATGTAAGTCATAAGCTCCATCAAGCGCTGTGCATCCACAGACATCAGGTTCACAAGCTCTCCTGCTGTTGTCTTTCCTTTAGCCTTGCTGTTCAACACTAAAGCCTATGCAAAACACCGAAAAGAATATGATCTGTGTCAGCTATATTTAAGTTATAGCCTGCAGAGCAAGCATAATTTTGGGCAAGCACAATTTTGGGGAGTGAGTGCTCAGTATAGGTGTAAATCATATTTGATATTTATGGCAGTGAAAAGGTGGGGAGGGAGAGATGAAAATTGTAACAAGGGGGTTAGCACCCTTTGAAAAGCAAGAGTTGAGAGGGCGTGGGGTCATCCTTTTCTTCTGCCTCTCCCATTTCCACTATACCATAATCACAGAGTGTATAGATCTAGAACTGAAATTATCTGCATTTCAAAGTAGCTTGGGATGTGAATATGGAAATATTTTATTAAGAAAGGAATTCCCTGTCATGATTGGGTATATTATAACAACCATGACTTTGATTCCCACCAGTATTTTTCTCCTTAAAACATAAGTGATGAGTTTAAATTGGAGAACATACTGTATATCCAACTATCACACTCTTAAACATTCACCTACTTGACTATAAATGCATATACAAGAACGACTAGGAGAGACCAGGAATACAAACAAATTAACAAATCTCTCCTCTAGATTTTCCAACTAACAAGTATTTCAGTTACCTTTTCATAAACCAATCCAATGATGCCTGTACGCATCCTCATGCCAATCTGTATCATAATGTGAAAATATTGGTGAAGTGCCAAGGACTGAATGATAGCTACTCCAAACATTGCCCCTGCATACGCATAACCCTTCCACTCTTTCCATGGACCAAACATGTCATCCTTGTCTTCAGTATAGCCAACTAATAACCTTGAGAAAAATAAACAGTTCTTTGAATTACTAACATAACATATATTAATGCCGATTAGTGGTCAATATTTATAAATGCAAGTTAGTACTCCATTTAAGCTACATCACCAGAGATAGATACTAGCTGTGACCAACTAGCCACAGACTAGTAGCAATTCCATATTCGTTTGTGGTTTTTGATTTCCACCAACCAGTTTGGCTAGTAAACAAACTGAAATTGTTATAACACTAAACTGTCACTAGCCACTTGGCTAGTAATTTGAAAAGTTAGTAGTCTGAGCCCTGATCATTGTACTCCTCAACATGTAAATATTCCACATGTTATCAATCTGTGCATATTTAATCTTGAGCCTCTTAATTAAGGTTTTTTGACTGAAGGAAGGTGGAGGACAGTGCTTTCTCTCGCATAACTTTTGAAAATGTTGTGCAAATCTGGGAAACATAAAGCAGTACACCTTGAATGAAAACAAAGGATTATTTGAATTAACAACCATCCATCTACAGCTGTACCTATAATACTTTAGATTCTGAAACTAGTTTAACTTTATTTGTCCAACAAATAAAATGAAAGGGAACACTGTACTTTAAAAGCTGAGGCTGTACAAAAATGAGCGCATCATGCAACAACTTGCAAAAGACAGCTAGAGCAAACTTGAATCCAAACAGGCTTCCCAATGTTTTTCTGAGTGAAGGCTTGTTCTCCTTTTTTCTTGTTGATGCATTTTCAACATTCTCATCAGGGCCATTGTCATCATCCAATAGTCTATCACTTTCGTTGTATCCATCTTCATCTTTATGACTTCTTCTGGCAGAATTTCTAATCAAAATCAGATAAAAGAAAATTAACAAAAATCAAGCAATGTCCGACAAGATGATTCTTTACAGCTCAACATTAATAAACAATGCAAAGGGGGTCTTAGCTGCATTGACTTCTTGGAAATAGAGAAGAGTGGTAAGAAGTCAAGGTGGCGTTGGGGGGTCAAAAAAATAAGGGGTAAAGGTCAAGGGTCAGAGTTGAAAGTTGAGGGGTGACAAGTGAATGCTGAGAGTGAGGTGAGATAACAGATGTAGTTAGGAGGTAAAGAGAGGAGAGGAGAGGGGGTAGGAAGTTGGGGGAAGTTCCAAGGCAACAGGTTGGGCCCAGGTGAAAGGGATAAAGAGATAGATACAACAGCTGAGCGATAGGAATTGAGAGTTGATGAGAGAGGGGTGTGAAATGAGGGAAAAGGGAAGGAACAGGGGTAAGGGGCAATAAAATACAGAATCTTGTTGCAAAAAGAATAGATCCAAATGCAAGCATACAATCTTGGTACTCCTTTTTCTGTTTGTTTTTGCTTTTTATTTTTTCAGTTCATTAGTCCATTATTGTTTACATCCAATCAGCTTCATTTGCTCTAATGACTAAGAACTGTTCTCCCTTTAGGCAGGGGTCCCTATGGTGACATAAACAGAACTAAAGATCACTTATCCTTGCTCATAAAACCATGGGCAAAACAATGAAAATTAAGAGGAAGATAAAGAGGTGATAACAACTGGGCACACAGGTTTATATGACTATTGAAAGAACCCCTTCCCCTCCGGCCCATCAAGTAAACTCTCATATCCTGTCAAACCACCATGTTATTTCCTTCTTACCCAAGGATGATGATCACTAAAGAAAATCAAAGTCATGATGTAAGATTTCACATTTACAGTACTCTGTATCTGGAGTGGCATCTTACATTCTTCTGCATTTTCTTTGTTGCTCTATCCATTTGTTTTTCAGTTTTGAGACAATATATGTTGCTTGATTATCTCTTCTTAAGGCCCATAAATCCTTGTCCTCTAGCGGTCTTTTGTAACCAGTAGATATAATCCTGGAAAAAATTTCAAGTTTTTGTCCGCTATTCCAGACATGGGCGCATTAAGTTAAAAACAAGTAGAGGGGATTTTAGAATTCTCTAATTTGTGGATTATTTCTACTGTGAATTTAAGTTTTTGATCATTTCTTGTAAAGCCTCAGTCGAGGAGCACTGACATAGTCATTTCGGAACTAATACATTATTGCCATAACCTTAGACAATCAGGTCACACGGTTCATTTTCTTGATCTTAATATGCAATGACAACAACAACAACAACTTTATTTGTATCCTGAATTAAATTAAATTTAAATTACAAAAAGTAATAATAAAAACAAATAAAATAAAGTGCATGGCTGCCCAAAATAACCACCAGGCTAATAGAATTGAGTATGCAAAACATAATTTGGCAGAAAACTTCTCACCAGTTAAACCACCAAAATGTGAGCCTTGACAGAAAGTTGGCTCTATCTTCAGGATTTTGTTTCTACATGAAACGAAAGAAAAGCACTGTCAATAAATACCTTCAACAATGAGCAGAATACAATTGTACATGTAACCTTTCAAGGAAACAGGTATGAAAGACATACACTGATAAATTGTATACTTCAACCTACCCTTTTTACTTCTTCCTTCCTTGCAACCTCAGGAAAAGAAGCCCATCCATTGTCAACAAAATTCTCTGATTGAATTTGAGAAGTCAACACTTCAGAGCTTTTTGAACCATCTTCAACTTGAACTTCCATTTTTACAGTCCTAGTTTAACACTTGATCAGCTGCAGTCCAATTTATTAAAGGGCACTAAAGAATCTAAGAACTACAATAAAATCTGAAATAAAAAAGACAAAGCTGAGCAAGGTGCACTGTCCCTCACAAACAGATTCCATGTTACTATGCCGTGCGTTCAGTCATAGGTCATATATGACATCTAAATGTCCACTTTTGCGACCTATTACAACTGTGCAGACCAATGACAGCATAGAATCTGTTTTATACAATAAAAATGAAATGCTGTCAATGGTAAAATCATTTACGCATCTTTCCTTCCATAGCTCATAAGAAAGAACCAATCAACATGTGTCTACAATTCAGCTTTACATCAATATATATAACATTAGAATTTGATGTTTACTTCTGTCTGACACATTAGGTCCTGGAGTAAGACACTAATTTACCATTACTGTAGTCTTAGTCAATCATAGAGACTAGGCAATTTAGTCTTGGGAGCAACTACAAAATACAGGGCTACTGAGGTCCACCTTGTCAGTATTCTTTGAAGAACGAGGCACAACACAAAAGGATGTATAATTGTGATTCAATGTAAATCAGTGACCCTTTATCATTCAAATGTGCTTCGTAGAGTACAAATAACGCGCGGGACGAGTACTTATAACGCGCGGGACGAGTACAAATATCACGCGATATTTGTACTCCAGAAATATCCGCGAAATTCGCCGACACTGAAATAACAATTTGGCGTGTTGGATATAAATCTCTTATCAAACGTTTAGTTGTGTAGTATCGCTGAGTATTTTTACTTGTTGTTTGTATTTTGACTCGCCCTATGGGCTCGTCAAAATACGGCACAATTCGTAAAATACTCAGCGATACTACACAACAAAACGTCTAATAAGATGTATGTATTCTGTAGTTTTATCTACTTTACATGTACTACTGTACATGCAACCCGGCACATGTACAGAATTTGGAATGCAGAACGCTTGTGCATTTAGTTTAAGAACCCGAGGACTGACAGTCTTCCGCGCAGCTTGACAATCAACGCAATCGAACCCGAAGGTTTTGCTAGATCTGACTACGACCGGCAATTAAATTCGCACTAACAAATCCATTCACCCAAATAGAAAAACAAGCTCAGCAAATTTGTTATATTCGGCGCTGTCGTTGTGATCGTAAGTTGTGCTGCACAAAGGGTTGCCATTCGACAGCACCTTCTAAAAAACGCATCAGAGGAATCTGGCTTAGCGCGCCGTAACAGGAAAGTATGGAAAAACATCGACCTCCACCTAAAATTAAACATAGCTTACCACGCTAAGCTCGAGTCAGCCGCTAAGTAGTAGTTATTCTTGTCAATCGCTGAGATTACGTAAAGATCTCAGTTGGCGATGCAATCTAACCAATACGGAGTAAAGCTGAGGATACCGGCTTGCTGCGTGTGACACGCAAATGACAAGCTAAAATCACTTACTTCTAGCTGTGGTGTTACATTGGGCAGCAACTACGGAATAACCGGCCACTTAAGTCCATTCATTTATATGTCGAGAGGCTTTGATGAGTGAGGCCTGTGTTGCACGGGATGGTGCAATTTTTCCCTAAGGAGTCTGGTACCTAACTTTAAACAAAATGGCGGCCGTCATAATGGAGTTTGAACTGGCATAAGTTTTACCCTCTGGTATAGTAACACCACTCAGAATGCTTACTGATCTTTAACACATCAGTGTGCCGAGGAGAATTTTTCGAAGAAAAAAATTGTGTTATTTTAAAGAAAATGAATTCGCTTTTACCCAAAGTTCGTCGTGTCCACATCGTCGGAAATCAGTTATGCTCTATTCCCTCTCTTAGTCTTCGTGATAAATTCTTTTCTCTGGTGTTTCTGGGTTTTTGCCCAAAAAGCTGTCTTTTCCACACATCTGGACTAGATGTAGCTCGTCCAGCTAATAAGAAAGCCGAGAGAATGGAGAAATCCAGAGAAACTTCTGCCAAGCTTCTCAAGAAATTACGAAAGACACGCCTTGAGGGACTGGTAAACCCTGAGCCTGTGTTCACACCTGAAGAAAAACTCAACAAGCGAATTAAGAAGATACAGTCTATCAAGGGACTTTTACAGTTCTACTGGTTCAGAGTGAAGAAAAAGCGAGAACTAACTCCTTTCCATAAATTCACAATTCTTGAATGTATCGTGGAGTATTTCTCGAAAAACGTTCAGATGAGAGATGTCTTTTTGACCCAGCCTCTCCAACAGAGTTTGTTTGAGATGCTAGCGCAAGACGTCAGGGTTCACCTCAATGACTTTGATGCGAATCAGATATGCAAAGTTGTGATTTACATGGCAAAATTGTGTGTTAAAGATTCTTATATCTATAGGGATCTTGAAAGAGGAATTTTGTACCACAAACTTAGCGGATACTCGACTAAACAGCTCTCTCATTTAAGCTGGGCATTTGCAAAATACTGTTTGCACACAAATGTTGTTCAAATCTTTCATGCCTTAGATAAGGAGATTTTCTCAAGGGACATATCAAATTTTTCATCTGAAGAACTGTGCACATTAGCTTGGTCTTTTTCTGAGTCTGACTTTTCCAGTGATGGACAATTTTACAAGAAGATTGGTAGTGAAATTTTAACTCGAGATCTTAGTCAATTTCAGCCATGGGCTCTGGCATCTCTGTCATTTTCTTACTCTAGAGCAGATGCTTTTGTAGCTGAAGTGTTTCAAGTGGTTGAAGAAGAGCTCTTACAGCGCGATGATCTCAAATCCTTTGCAACAAATGATTTGGTAATCCTTGTGTTAGCATTTGGTAGGGTTGGAAAACTCCATCCTGAATTGTTTGGCAAGTTTGAAGTTGTGATGGTGACAAGAAGAGATTATGCAGAGACTGTCATTAGGGAGTACTTGCAAGAAACTTACAATTTGTTAAGGAACAGTAAGTTTCATTTAGCAGTGGTGGTCAAAATGATTGAACGTGTATTAGACCCAGATGTGTGTAATTCTCTATTTGATATTCTGTTTCGACCTCGTAGATCTTGGAAAGAAAAGGTTCTTCACCAGTACCTGTTTAAAGCATACTAGCCTATCAAAACATAAGATACATTCAGTGATGTATTGTATGAATATGAACCATTTGCCAGCATTTCTTGACTTGATTAACTTTACTACACCCAGATGAACTTTTCAGCATTTGAAGGAATGTGATATGTGTGCAGATGTTTGATGATTAAGGGACAACTTGCTACAAAACAAGCCTTTATTGTGGAATAAAATTTTTTTTATTAATCACAACAATTTATTACATTTTATTATATTTTAAACAAGTTTACATCATTTCTTTTGTGAAACAACAGTGCCTACACAAGGGAAGGTGGATGATGCACACCCTCTGAGGTGTTAATTTCTGATGCCGTAGGATCTTATATTGGTGCCTATCAAATCAGCTGACTGTCTACATTACAGACATTTATTTCATCTACCTTTTAATGGTCTTCTGTTAGTAGCCTAAAATTAATATTTATGGCAAGGCAAAATGACCCCAGAAATAGTGCAAGCTTGAGACAGTTTTAATCTGATGTCATTTTACACAAATTGTTCATATAAGGGGAAAGCTTTTTTTTTATTTTTTCAGGGGGGGTGGAGGGAGAAATTACACATCTCCCATGAACAATTTTCTCCACAATCCTTAGAAAGGATAGCATTCACTGCTTCCTGATCTTAAGTGACCAATAGATGGTCAATGTTTAGCAGAGAGAAAAAGTGTTTGAATAAGTAAGGGTTTTATTGATCCATGTCAGTTTCTGAGCAACTGTGCACCCACCCCACCCCTAACCTAACAACATTCAACTGATAACAAGTTAGGGTTAAGGGAGGGGTGGGTGCACGATTGCTAATTTTTTTTTTTACATTGATTTAAGCATTAAGCTACACTTTCTATCACTTTGCTAGCTGATAAACCAAGTGGGATGTTGGTTAACCACAAGGTGAAGCTGAGTGGTTTACAAAGTTTGTGAGTATTCACCTAACATCCCAGGTGGTTTAGCAGGCTAATAGAAAAGTGTAGGTTATTGCTTTTATAACATAATATGAGTGAAGTTTGCAAAGAGAATGCATGATGAAGTTAAACTTATTTTTTGATCAAGTTGCTGATTCTCACGAAACCCATCAAAAAGAGTGATAAACCAATCCATTTTCATGTGACGTCATTAAATGCCAAAATTTAAAACTAATAGCCCAGCACGTGCGTTTTAAAACTTTGTACATTTCGTAGCCGTCCTTTGCAAACCAACAAGGTGAAATCACCAAAATCTGCGTCGTCTGCGAAGCGAAACCGCGGCGGCAAACTATTTTAATTTACATTTGGAACTCAACGCTACTTTTATGCGTTATGTTGAGTTTGAGGTCTGGCGCCCTATGAGACGATAAACACATGAAGCCATTTCCGAAATTCTAACTAAAAGTAGAAACTCGTTTTTTAATCGAAGTGTTCCGTGGCGTTGCCGTCCTGACTGCTTAAAGTCCCTATTATTATGGTTCAAATTACTAACACTCGGGTTGATGACTCCGGCTGATTGTGTCACGCGAGTCACGTTCGAACATTTATTCAAGATTATGTGTATCAATTTTCGCTCATAATCGTTGGACGCAGAAAGACGAATCTGTAGAGGGCAAAGCTGGCCCTAAATCAGCCTAAGAATTTCACACGATGCAAAACAAGAACCACTTGAGCGGGGTGAATTTGTCCTTACTCAAAACTAGTCCAGATTTCAAGTTAAGGTTGAGAGCAGGACTGTTCTTTCCCATGCAAATCTTTTATATTTTACCAATATTGCGGAACGTGAAGGTATTTGCATATTCACAGAGCCTCTTTGGGCGAGCTTGAGCTTATTGTGATTAGACTGATTTTTACTGATTTTTTTTGTAGTCAAGTCGTTCTGATGGTCTGTACACGGTCCCTTTGGAAACCTTTATACTGAATGAGATCCAACCTGACTGACATTGTGAACAAATGGCTTCCCTCAAGGGTAAGCAAATTGGAAGTGTTGTTTATTTAAACGGTATTGTGAAGTCTGAATGGCGACTCCGTTGTTCTGTAAGAAGAAATGTTTGCAACTGGTTGCGGAGCGAGTGCCTGATTTATGCGATACTTAAGTTTTGCAGGGGTCTAACGAAAGGAAGCTTTAATTTACGACCAGCAATTTAGTAAGAAAGGGAAATTGAACCTTTGACGCTCTAAACTGCTCATTCGCGAAACGAACCTAGATGAAAAGAAAATCTATTATCAGAAAACTATAATTTGTGAAAAATGGAAACGCAGGGATACCAAGCTCTTCATGAGATGATAACATTACAAGCTACTCTTAAGTGAGAGGATAGTATCATAATCAAGCTGAGGCTTTGTATGGAGTTTCAAAACTCCATTCTGGAACTCCGTAAATAATATAAAGCAAAGAAATTCTAAATTCTAGTCTGGTAGCTAGTTTTTTCAGACCATTTTGTTGAGTTTTAGCTGAGATCTCATCCTAGTAGCTGCCTGCCGTACTTAAGTGGATGAGATCTCTGCTGTCATTTACAGATTTTTAATACGCAAATTACAGCTTTCGTTTTTGCATAGTGTACGGGTTTTGCTAAAAGCAGGCCCGCGGCCCAGCGGCCTGGCAGTCTGAAGGCCCAGCGGCCCGCAACAGCCTGCGACCCGGAGGCCCGGTGGCCCAGTCCTCATTTTCCACAGTTTTTTGTCCAACAGTAAATCCACGCGCATGCACAGATCTGCATCGGGTTTGGGCGTGCAAAATGGACGACAGTGAGCTTGAATTCGTTTACCATTTAATCATTTGAATCCTTGTTTCTGTTTGTTGCATGTTGTTCAGAAAAAAACGTTTTGATTCTCTGTTCATTAGTCTCTTCACAGAAACCGATAGCACAATGGAAGACTTTCATTATCGAACGATGTAAGTTATTTTTAAACCATACTTTGAAAGTGAAAATATCATAACAACAAAAGAAAAGAAAATATGAACCAAGGGTAAAATTGAAGCACAACACAAACAACAAATTTGAATTTCTTGATGGCGGGGTTTGATTTTTTCACTTTTCGCCGTGATCGAAAAGTACTCCTTTTACACCCGAAATAAATATATCTTATTAAACAAGCGCGAGGGCCATATTGAGAGAATGTCGGCCCGAGGTCTTGACAGTACGGACCGAGCGCAGCGAGGTCCGTACAAAAAAAACCGAGGGCCGATATTCTTCCAGTACGGTCCCGAACAAGCTTGGTTAATAAGAGATTTATTACACGACTGAAGCTCAAAGGGATACAAGTGCGATATCATTCGGGACCATTCGGGACAGTGCCCGGTTCAATGCTTAGAGAATATTGACCAGCAATAGAGCATTTTGATTGGTTGATTTTAGTTATTGACCCTCTGACTGCCCGAGTCGTGTAATAATGTACCGTATTACTTCGCCCAACCTCGAATAAGGAGCTGCCTCCTCGATGTCCGACGGCGTAACCTCGTCAAATCGATCGGTCGCCCGACTGAGAAGCAGAGTTCGCTTGTTGACCTTGGTGATAATGTGATTGAAATCGAGTAAGTACCACTAAGAGACTTACCCGAACACAGAGTTTCCTTAGTAATTTACAAAAAATTTCAATGAACAGTTAAAAATCTGCTACTTGCTAAAAATGGTGCAAATTTAAGTGCTCAGCCTCGAATAAGGGCCCACCGCCCTTGAGGACGAAAAATTTAATAAGCGCCCAGGGCGCATACCGTATTCGAATAAATACGGTACTTTCATCGCCGGAAAGCAATGTTTGAGAATACGCTTTCCTTTTGGGATGGAGTTCCTGCAAAAAGATCGACATGTCTCCGCATAGAAAAGATTCGCAGTTCATATATCGCATTACTAATGATATTTTCACTCTCAAAGTATGGTTTGAAAATAACTTTCATCGTTCGATAATGAAAGTCCTCTGTTGTGCTATCGGTTTCTGTAAAGAGACTAATAACAGAGAATCAAAACGTTTTTATCTGAACAAAATGCAACAAACACTCACTATCGGTCTGTGCATGCGCGCGGATTTACTGCTGGACGAAAAAAACTGTGGAAAATCAGATGAATAAAGGCTGATAGTTTCTAAAGAAACTGTTTGGGGACTGCGTCGGTGGGGATAACGAAATAATTTGAATATATCAACAAAGTTGAAATGGTAAATTGCCCACCGTAACGATTACAAAAGCTGACGTTTCGAGCGTTAGCCAATTTACCATTTCAACTTTGTTGATATATCCAAATTATGTGGAAAATGAGGACTGGGCCACCGGGCCTCCGGGTCGCAGGCCGTTGCGGGCCGCTGGGCCTTCGGGCTGCCAGGCCACTGGGCCGTCGGGGGCCGCGGGCCTGCTTTTAGCAAAACCCCTTTTAAACTGCCACTGATCAAGCAGACGAAAACCACAAGTCTTGAGCATTCTCTTCATTTCATTTACGTATCATTGTAAGTTATGTTTCCGTACAAGAATTGTTTACGGCCATGATTAAATCTCTGCATAATTCTTTAGAGTAGACCATTTCAAGGTTACCGGTCATTTTGCCGGGGGTGCCGAAAACTACTGCTGGGGCGAGCGCAAAATGTACAGTGAATGTATGGAAAAAGTGGAAAGATTGATGCTCAAGAACTTGAGGAAGGTTGACATTATGCAATTTCTATGAATTACAAACCAAAGATACCGGTTTACATGTACAGATCAAATTTGAAAAATGAAGTCTCACGAAAAAAGCCGCAAAATTTTAGTCTGTAAAATCAAGTCGCCGTTCGCAGGAAAATTTAAAAGCATTTGTGTGAAAAACTAAAAATAAGATTTCTCACTTCTCAGCGAGACTGAACCCTTCACATTTAATAGGCAACTTCTTTTGCTAAGTATCTTTACCTCGTGACCCATAGAAATTGCAGAATGTCAACCTTCCTCAATTTATCGAGCTTCAATCTCCCGACTTTTTCCATGCATTTACTATACATTTTGCGCTCGCCTCAGCAGTTTTTCACTCCGGAAAAATGGCGCCGGTAACCTTGAAATGGTCTATTTTTAAAGATCGGCACTAATTACCGTCACAATGCGATTTCACTCAGAAGTTCTGTTTCTGACTCGCTAACTGCGAGCCCAAACTAACACTTAAATTTCAGTTTGTTGGCACATTCTGAGATTTATGGCTGGGAATTTTTTCCACCATCTCATTTCCCTGATCTTCCAAGCTCAATTTGCGGTCTGTATTAAATACATAAAGGTTGAATGGATCAGAAACCTAATTTTAATTTTATACTTGTTAAAAACAATACAAGTGTACTCACTCCGCTAATTTACTATGTTTGTTAGTGGCGCGGAACTAGGGGAGGTGCCCAGAAGGCTTGTCCTCCCCCCTTATTTTGGATAAAAAATAAACGCAGTAGGAAGAAAAGCCGGCACGTTTACACACACATACAAAAACGGCCCTCCTTCCTTAGCTCAAGATCTGGATCGCCACAGTTGCACAATAACAAGTTGTGAGTTGATGTCTTCCATAGACAAGGTTGTATACTTGTTGAAGAAGACTCTCCCTAAATTTTCTCTCCTTTTGTTTGTTGTTTCATGAAGATTAGGAAATTGAATCTGAAAAGTTAAGCTGTCATTAAATTAGTTCCTGTTCAACAACCCTTACAGAAATGAATATTGATCAATTGTTTTCACATCTCTTTCCCCCTTTGCCCTGGCATATTCAATTGCTTATGGCTAATTTAGTTTTTTGTGCTGAGCTTATTCACAGACCGTATAGTGTTTCCTGTTTGTCCCTGTCTCATTGGCATTCTCATCACCCTTCATACCCTCAGATTCTCTCCAATTTATGGTACAACCAATCTATCTTCATTAGCTGACTTTCTCGGAATGTACTAAGTTTGTAAGAAGGAAGTAAGTTCTGGTCACAGTAGGGTTACCCTGCTGGCAGAGACGTTTATTTGTTAGCTTCCCCTACGGTCCACGTAAAAATAAAGTACCCTGCGCTCGGCCTGTTAAATCTTCTTCTAGCATGTGCGGCCTGTTGCTTAGAAACAAATTAGTTCCCGGTAGTACTCGGCCAACTATATAGCTAAATATAGTAGGCCTTTATAGCGTGCGCATAAAAAACGTGTTTAAAACTCGGTTTTGCAAATTAGATTATCCACAAACTTGGGTAATTCCCAGGCGCATGCTCGAAGAAGATTTAACAGGTCGAGGGCAGAGGACTTTATTTTTACGTGCACCGTAGGGGAAGTTAACAAATAAACGCCTCTGCCAGCAGGGTACAGTAAGGAGTGAGAAAATTTTGAAATTTTTAGTGATTTTATTCACTGCATGGAGTGATTTTATTCACTGTATGAGGTTTTCTGGCTTGTTCTTAATTATCTGACCTCAACTGCTTGGTAATTAATCCTTTTACTTTCACCATCTCATGATTAGCGATTCTGACTCGTTACTGTCTTACATTCACCTATTAAGATCATGATCGTTAATTCATAGGATGTGGTTTTGGACCAACTAATAATCCTCAAATTGATATCTTTCTTGATTCTCGTCACTTGTCTGCCTAATATTATATTGATATGGTAAGGAGAAATTCTGTCTCGGTCATTAATGGGCATTTAAGTTTTAACACAAAATACTGTTTAAGTATTGCAATCAGACTGGTTCTTACAATCCAACCTGTCGAGTAAAAAACTAACTTTCTGTGTAACATCTTCTCTATTACAAAAACAGGTATCTTTGGCAATGAGAGCACAAAAGCAGATGAATTTCCTACTCTATCATTTGAAGAACAGTTCAAAGAGTTGACCTCTCTCATATCCTTTTTTGAGGAGTGTTCAATGAAAACATGGGAGTTTATTAATGGCATGAAGAAAGAGCTTTCTGACAGCTTGAAAACAGATCTTATGACTGACACAGAAAGGAAGCGTCTGCAGTCATATGCTGCAAAGAAGTCCACTCTCTTGGTCCTTGGACAAACAAACAGTGGAAAGAGCTCCTTTGTGAATGAACTCCTTGGTGGGTCATTCATGCCAACTTCTGAAGAACCATGTACATCTCGCATCGTCCGTCTCAAATATAGCGAGAAAAACTATCTCCAGGTTTGTGATGTATGTTTCTGTTTGATACTTTTCAAGAAAAAAAGGCTGACGGTTTGTTCAAATAACAGCAGTTCAGGAGGGGGGGGGGTGCCCCTTCCCAGTTTACAGCTCTGACCACATAGCTCAGTTGATAGTAGAGCCCAACTTTATCGAGGAGGCACGGGTTTAAATCCCGTGGAAGCCTGAATGGGAGGGGCTTACACCCCCCCCCCTTCTGCATTGCCACCTGTCCTTAATTGATGAAAGTTTCTTTAAAGTGCTTTTATAAAATTAACTATATATGAATGTGGCCAATCTTAATATTTGAAAAAAGGCTGATAATTTCGAAAGAAACCGTTTTGGGCTGCGTCGGTGGGGGTAACGAAATAATTTGAACATATCAACAAAGTTGAAATGGTAAATTGGCCACCGTTACGATTATAAAAGCTCCTTTTTTCTGCCTTTAAAAGCACACACAACCCATAATTCCCCTATTCGCTCCGACGAAGGGCTAACGCTCGAAACGTCAGCTTTTATAATCGTAACGGTGGCCAATTTACCATTTCAACTTTGTTGATATATTCTTAATATTTGAAAACCAGGAAGTTAACCTGAGCTTATAGCCGAACTTCTTAAATCAAAAAGCTGCATCAAGGTTTACAAACAATTGTTGCTACGTTGTGAAATCAATAGCCAATTTTAAAGCAGATTTGAAGATAATTGTCAAAGGCTCAGTTAGGCTATACTCCTTGGAATCCCAAACTACATTGATTTCATGGCTGTAACTAAATCTGAACTATTAAGGTATAAAGTAGAGATAGGAAAAGTAAGTGTCTTGAACGTACTTTTTCTTTGGTCTCATTCTTTTGACCTGGAAACAGAAGACAAAGATCCAGCTTGTGTCTTGAATCTTTCGTGTACTGCCTATACTGGATAAGTGTATTGCAATAAGCAATTTGTACCCACCCACTCCCTCTTATTTGAAATAACAGTACTGAAAAATTTACCTTTTAGGTACTGGATAAGTCTAAACCTAATGAAGGAGAGAAGATTTTTTTCGATGGAAAGAGGTTACCGAAAGAGGAAATAGAGTTGGTTGAAAGTCGGAGAGCAGATAAATCCTGGATCAACTCTACCGTAGAAGTGGGCCTGAACAACTCTCTCTTTCAAAATGGACATCTAGAAGTTATTGATGCACCTGGGATGAGCGAGAATGAAGCTCTGGACGAGATTGTTGAGGAATGTATTCACGGCATTCTTCAAGTCATTATCTATGTCATAGACGGTAACTCCTCTCTAAGGCTGCAGGTCAGTTATAACCTCACATTCTTGAGAGACTTGAGGGTGCAAATATAGGCCTTATTTCTCAGTTCTTATTTTTAAGTCTCAGTGTCTCGGCGAAATTTCAATCGCATTCTCATTTCGTTGCTTGTGATCCTCAGTATTTGCGACTTAAATCCCATTTTCCTCGTGATAAAAGGCAAACCTAAATTCCCTTTTACCCCCTACTTACCCTTTGTATAACCTTCACTCGTCTTTGGCTACTTCTCCTTTAAGGGCTTTTGCATTGCAGGTCGGCTAAGCGTAGATTTGGGGAGGAGATTTACCTGCATCATATGGTTCACATGAGTGAATGACTTAATTTTCAGAAACCCATTGTTGACTGGGCACAGAACATAACAACAGCCAAACATTAACCACAATTCTTGACGATTTTACTTTTTTTTACGGGGTGTAAGTTTTATGAGTCTTTCTAAACAAATTTCGTGTTTGATTCATAGGAAAGGGATTTTCTCCTGGACCTGAAGGAGAAAATTGGTAACTTGCCCATTTTCTACCTGTGCAACAAGGTGGATAAAGACAGGACGGCTGTGGAATATGACAGGGACTCTGACTTAGAAGACAATGTTGATAAAGGCCCACATAATGAATTAGGGAAGGAGCTGCTCGCTTATCGAGCTCTCTCTCTATGCCATATGGTGCCTGACGACATAGAGTATACACAATGTCCTTTCTTTCACGGTTTGTCAACCAAGGAAGTCAGGGACGCTCGACAGAAAAAGCAGTCAAACCAGTATACCAAGCAGTTTGATGACCTCAGGTTTAAGCTGCTGAAATTTATTGCCACCGGAGTGAACAGCCATCTTCGATCTGCAGTAGAATTCCTTTGTCAGATCCAAAAAAGGGTGTTTGATTTCTTTTTGAATTGTGACCTCAACCAAGACACAATTCCTGCTCAAGATGAGTTATTTAGTAAGCTAGAAATAAAAGAGCAGGAGTATGTGGAAGAAATGCAAAAATTTCTCTATAACAATCTTTTTAAGTTTTCCAAGGCTGTCGAAGATATAGTCAAGAGCCAAAGAGCTAAGATCGTAGCTGACGCGTCCGAACTGCAGTTCGATTCAATCAGAACTGGAGATATCGTCGGGCAAAATGAGGTGGTAGAACACTGCCGCAGTCAGATTAAGGACCTGGTGTTGTTAAACGTTACGAACAAATCGATTGAAAGAATTCAGCCGGTAGCCTCCGTTTTCACAAGATATCTACGTGAATCCCTCGAACAGTCGCTCAGTGAGGTAGGCGAACAAGACGACAATTTAGCTATTCTTGTAAAGATGCAACTGAAGTACAGTTTTCTACAACATTTTCCAGCGCGAGACATTTGCCCTTACTTTGATTATGCTTTGATGAAAAGTGGTGTGAGGCCTAAGGACAACGCCAAGAAAGCTGTCAATGATGTATGGTCTGTCATCCGAGGGAAGGGGACGTACCTTAACGCAAAGTGGAAGCAAAGAATCGCAGAAAATGTGCTGGACAATATCGACTGTGATGCCATCGCACGCCGAATTTGTGACAAAATAGCAGAGGATTTAGAAGACGGGCATCAGTTGTTACAGTTAAACCTGGTTTTCATGAGAAAATTTTGCCGCGCAGCTTTAGAAGTATCTGCTGTTCAGAAAAAATTCGCCGTAGCACAATCCCCATATTTTTCCAGTCTGATGAGTAAGGCCGGTGCTCTTTCTCAGACGCTGGCTTCCGATGTTCCCTCTAGAGCAACTGTTGGTGCGCAAATAGGAAGGTCTGGTAACCGAGGAAGGGTTTTTGAAGACAAAACCAACGAGAAACGTGTTGTGAAACAGCTCACATGTGCAGCTCACCACAGTGAAATGCGAGATGAACATTTGTTAGGCATTACAAGAACCTTAAGGAGGTCAGACTATCTGATAGTTTTTAGTAATAACTCCGGCCCATTTCATCAGAAATGTTATGTCTAAACTTACCAATTGGTTTTCACACTCCCTTGTGGACATTTTTTGTAAAAGCAATTTTGCATATGACCGCGAAAAGTCGCTCTTCAACATCCCTGTTATTTGACCTTGAAGTATTTTGCTCAAGAGAAAGAAAATACTTGCTATGTTTTCTCACGTTTGAAACTGTAATTAATTTATAATGACACACGAGGCAATTACGTGGCATACATGCGCTATCATAAAAGCAAACTTGAATTAAGAGGTAAACGTGACTTGTCGAATTTTCAATTTTCCAATTGATTACTTTTTTTTTTGCAAAGTGAAGCCCACCCATTAAACTATATCTTTGGTTGTGATACCCGCAGGACTCAAGATGATATTTCCACAATCCTACGACCTATTTCGTTGATATTGGACGGAAGTAATGCGGTCTCTGTTCTGTTTCCAAAAATGGTCACAGACTTGTTCGAAATTCTTCAGTGTGATAAAATCCAATTGCATCAAGGTCTAAGAATTGCACAGCAAATGGCTGATGCTCTGGAGAATTGCTGGGACAGACGCATTTACCATGTGGATTTGAGGACCACAAACATTTTGGTAACTACGCTTTTTAATTACATCATGATATTAAATCCCTAATGTTGACTTCTCTGTTTCACTTAGGAGAATATAATAGCCGATGAATTGAGTTGTCTCAGGGGTTTGTTCACCAGACTATGTTTGATGGATACCGCTCGGCCAAGTTTAGAAAAAATGCAAACAAACTACATGACTGATTTTTGTAAAATTGAAAGGAGTTAGAGATCTTTGGGTAAAATAGCATGGCTTATCATTGCAGCAGCAAAAGTCAGTGCCACTCTCTCGATCAATGGTGTATATCGCAATCAGGGTACCATTTTTTTTATTCGCTTCTCACTTCGCTTGTATGCTGATAATGTAAATGAAAAAGTCTCAAGCAAAGGAAAAGAAATGGAATGAGCTCTGCTTAAGGCCATGTTGGTTATGTTTTTCTTTTTTCCCTTTTTTTTTTTCTTGAAACAAAAAAAATAGCTTGACTTCTGCGGAAATGCAAGGCTAAACGTCTCTAAGCCAAGGGATGACACAATTCCGTATCCTGACAACCAAGCACCTTTCCATGTTCCTGCTCAGAATCCCGGTGCAAATGCACCTGATGCTGATTCGATGATGACTCTGAAGAATCATTGTGTCTACAGTCTTGCAGTCTTGCTTTTGTTGCTTGTGGAGGAGAAGTATTGCAGACCACCCTACGCCCAGACGGGAAAGGTTAATGAGGTGTATGCTGCTGTAGACCTTGGAGAAGATTTGAAATACGTCTCCGGATTGAAGAACCCAAAGGGTTTGTTTTCGGGCGGAAGGAAAAAGGCTCGTGAGATTGTCCTGTCCATGTTTGACTTTCATGAGAAGCACAATGAGTATCTCCTCTCACAAATGAATTACTTCAAATTCGAGGTTACTGGGGTGATTTCTAGTTTTGACACCACCGTACCCTTTTGAACCTGCACTCTGAGAAAGGAAACTTTCATCTCTGTCACTTAGAAGTTGAGCAGTTTTTTTTTCATGGAAAAAAATCAAAATTTACATCTGCTTTCGAAGAGTTTCAATTCCATTTCCACCTACAAAGCAATTTAGATAAGCAAAATCTGATAAGAAAAGTTATTATTTTGTATAATTCACAAGCATTCGGTTTCAACTCATGAATAGACATGTGTTAGAATCGTGAGAAACTTTCTTTAGTTACAGTTTGAGCGAAGCGATGATTTCTTTGACAGATATTTATGATATTCGCTAAACAACGAAATAATGTAGTCACTGCCATTCAAAATACCAAAAAGGAGTCATTTCTTCATCTCGCCCCCAGTCGAATTCTTGAAATTTTCCTATAAATATATCTTATTAACCAAGCGCGAGGGCCGTACTGGGAGAATATCGGCCCGAGGTCTTGACAGTACGTACAAAAAAGACCGAGGGCCGATATTCTTCCAGTACGGTCCCGAGCAAGCTTGGTTAATAAGAGATTTATTATACGACTGAAGTTCAAAGGGACACAAGTGCGGTATCATTCGGGACCATTAGGGACAGTGCCCGGTCCAATAATTAGAGAATATTGGACCGGCAATAGAGCATTTTGATTGATTGATTTTAGTTATTGGCCCTCTGACTGTCCGAGTCGTGTAATAACACCGACTTTTACATCAACTAACTCCAGCACGGTCAAGAGACTGGCACCAAGACAAAGACCAACTTTATCGCCAATCTCACCTAGGTGGGGAAGGACTCTAGTAGAAGAAAGTCAAAGAGCACTGATAGAAAATTAACATCTATGACTGATTTTCCTACCAATAAGATTTTAAGCTTTCTAAAGTGTATATGATGTGCAGTTGAAAGTCCCGGCCGTTGAGGTCCGTATTAACTGACACCTTCCAATCTGAAAAAAATTAACGATTCATTTTCAAGTTGGAACGGAGCTTTTCTTGGTTTTTTAAAGTGCAAAAGCTAAGAAGGCAGCATTTATGAATCCCTATATTTCTTAGAAATCAAAATATATCCAAAACAATTGTTGATAGCAATTCTGTCGATAGAAGAAATTCTGCCGGTTGGAAACCAGAAAATCACAAGAGACCGTAACAGTGGATGACAAACGCTGAATAGGGGTTAACTTATCATTGATGTTAGTTAACGTGGTAGCCGGAGATACTCTAGTTTTATAATTGAATAATAGTGGTAATGATATAAGACTAATAAAATCGAAGCAAAGGAAAAAGATTGGCTCAAAAACAAATTAAACCAAACAAAAAAGCAAAAATGCTAAAGCGACAAACTGACAGTCGATATACTGACAGCGACCGACAGCGGCAGACATTTTTTTTTTGGTTGTCGTCTGCGTCTCAATGTCGTCTGCATAACTTCTCTAAGGTCAACTCGGAAACCTGGGCATCTCTTGCCCAACAGTTGTAGAAAGAAAGATAAGAAAGGATATCGATGTAAACTTACCTAGTAAACTTCCGCTCTCATAGGCTGGTTTTTCTTCGATAACTTGGTAATCTAAATCTTCCAAATACACACGCAGTTGAAGCACATTCTGTCTGTTTAAAAAGCAAATTGTATGAGAAAAAATATCCAATGAAAGAAATAGATAGAGACACGCGCACGAGCAGAACAGAAGGCGCTGGGATACAAGAGGTGATCGGCAACCGTCATGTGACATAAGATGAAGTAATTTTTTCGATTTCAAGCATAAACTAATCAGGATATCACGAAGGGCTAACGCTCGAAACGTCAGCTATGAGACTCTTTACGGTATCAACTCAATGCAGTAAATGGTTTGAACCCGGGGGTAACATGTGAAGGTGTAGTCTGATCGTCCGGGTGATTGTAGTCCTGAGAAGGACTGTTGTCGGTGGCAGTGACTGACGTTTCGACAACCTGTGCGGAAGTCATCATCAGAGTCAAGTGAGTGATTGTTGTCAGTAGAAGTGACAGTAGAAGTGTCTACTGACAACAATCACTCACTTGACTCTGATGATGACTTCCGCACAGGTTGTCGAAACGTCAGTCACTGCCACCGACAACAGTCCTTCTCAGGACTACAATCACCCGGACGATCAGACTACACCTTCACAGGTATCAACTCAGTTGATGATACTAGAATCACATTGTTACTCCCACTGACGCAGCCCCAAACTTACCTCCCTTTATTTTAAAATGCCATCGCTTGAATACATAAATAAAAATAAATAATAATTAATAATAAATAAATAATAAATAATAAATAATAAATAATAAATAATAAATAATAAATAATAATAATCACATTGTTACTCCCACTGACGCAGCACCAAACTTACCTCCCTTTATTTTAAAATGCCATCGCTTGAATACATAAATAAAAAATAAATAATAATTTAGGAATGGACATTCCACTGAGTGCCTCTTCTTGTCCACTGTTTCCAGATCGAATTGGAATTTGGATGTTGAGTCAAATCTAGGATGATATTTTGCTTGTAAAGACATTACACAAAACTGACATGAACGACACTAAAATTATCTTTGAATTATAATCGAAAAGTTCTTAAATTTTCTGGCAATCGTTCCATATAACGTCTTTACCAATTCGCTATAAACTAAAAGAGTTTAGTTTTTGTCACGGTTGGTTTTGTAGTTTTTGTTGTTATCAAATTCTCCATCTACCTTATATGGTTTTTTTTACCTTATATGGTTTTTTTACCTTATATGGTTTTCGATTTCTTCGACACCATCGGAGCTCACGTTAATGTCCTGCATATCGACATAACGTGACATAGCTTCCTTGCTTGGATATACAGCAAAAGACAAGATTGGTTTATAGGAAATGACATTACAGGGCACTGGACAATCACAATCTTCTGGAGCGTTGCCTAGAAAAGCCAGAAAGATGGAAGAAATGTAACTTACAGGTTTTACTACCCTATGTCTCTTAAACCTTTCTTTTAATTTGAACCAGGTATCGTTTCTCTTTAAAATATTTTATGTTTCCCTTTGCTCAACGTTATACAAATTAAGACTAGTTAACCCTTTAAAACCTAACATTAGCATTTATTCATACATCCACGCGTGCCTACTACGAGTGTCCATCAACTTAATTATCCCATTAAACGCAGGGGCGGATCCAGGAATTTTTGATTGGGGGGGTCCAAACTTTGGTTCACAAAGGACTGTTTGACTCTTTTGAGGCAAATTACTTCTCCTCCACACCCCCTCCCACCAGTCGCGGTTGCACGTTATAATTCCTTGGCCGCTTACCGTTTACTTGGATTCATTAATTTAAAAAAATCAGCCAGTTAAAAAGTGATATACGATCCTGCGGATGTAAGAATTTCAGTCTCAAAGTTGTTAGCGTCAGGTCTGATAGGGGGGTCCGGACCCCCCCAGACCCTCCCCCTGGATCCGCCACTGAAAGAGGAGAATCAACCAGAAAACTATGGTTTTACCCAGTCTACTCACAAGACGTGGGGTAGGATGGAAGTCAATATATATCTTCTATCGTTGTTAGGCAAGATTTCAATTAACTTAATATTCTTTTTTAAACATCTAATCATTCGAATATCCAGAGGGTATAGCCGTCTAGACGGTGAAAGCAAGATTCGTAGAAGTTTGTTAGTTGAATGAAATAGCATAGATAAAAATCTATTAAAAGAATCTATTTCCTGTGAAAAAACAGATACATATTGATGTGAGGACATAGTCGCTCGGCAAAACAAAGAAAGGAAACAGCAAAACAAAAGCAACGTTCGAAGTCATCGATCTTACCTGAATAAAAGGTGTGGCAGGCTGCCATGGAAGTCATTATTGGAGTGAAATTCCGATGATCACATGTTGGTTTTCTGTTCCAAAGGCAGGAGCGCCGTAACAGTGTCTCGATTTGATGACCCGCATGGTGGAGAAATTGTATAGGGTCCAGAAATGTACAATTGTTTAAAATCTTATCATTTGAAACAGTGCCTTTTCTCATTGACTTAAAATACTGGAAAAAAAGCTGATCGCTCCCATTTATTGTAACCACGGACTTCCTGATCATGTTAAAGTTGCAGATAGTTACAGCTGGGAAGTCCGTAATGACGTCGTGTTTCAAACTGACTTTAGTCGTGACTGGGTAATTGAAATATTTTGTCAGCAACATAGAGGTCTGAATTAAGAACCACGTCATTGCCAGCAAAAGAAGCACAGCCTACAGAGTGCGGCGAATTCATGACGTACCCGTAAAAACGTGTTGTAAACCATGGAGAGTCGAATTGTATACAAAGCGATTGAATCGTTCTCGAATTGCACCTGCCTTGGAAACGTTTCGTGACTCTCCACACTTAATTCTTGGTCAATTTTGTTTTCTTATATGTTGTACAGAAACTTTGTTTGGAATCCTTGCAATGTAATTCGATTTCTGACATTTCTGAAACCATGATGTTACTTGGTTAAGCTTTCACCGGAATCATAATTATTCTCTTTTGAAGCAAATAAATAAATTCCCTTAGTATTTCAGTTTATTATATTTTAATTTATTTTCATATATTCACCTGTCACCTGTCCGCAATCTGCGGTCTTTCCTTACACTTAGGTAGCACGGAAAGCCGTAAAAATCTTGAACAAAAGCTCATCTTTCAAACCGGTAGTCTAAATCCCACAGGGATCAACGAACGCTTTTCATTACACTAATTTATTCTTGTTTTTCTCGTTGCCATGTTCCCACCAATAACGTAGCTCCATTTTCTGCCTTTAAAAGCACACACAACCCACAATTCCTCTATTCGCTCAGACGAAGGGCTAATGCTCGAAACGTCAGCTTTTGAAATCGTTATGGTGGCCAATTTACCATTTCAACTGTGTTGATATATCTAAATTATTTCGTTACCCCCAACTACGCAGCCCCAAACAGTTTCTTTGGAAACTATCAGCCTTAATGTCTTGAATGTGACTTTCCAAATAAAAAATGATCGATTTTCTCTTGCTGTGAAATTTCTTTGAACACCAAAAATCAGAAAGAATCTTTTTTGCACCCCTGCATTCTCAATGAGACGAAACTGATCTCGGAAAAGGTTGAAAAGAGAAATGTTTGCGCAATATTTCTAGCTAATCGTCCAGGTTAAACAGACAATCGAAATAAAAAAAGAAGAAATGTTGACAAAATCAATTAAAAGATTTTAATAATTTTTTTTTAACGCTTACAACTGATGTAGTTCCATAACAGCTGGTGAGTCCAATGAACATGAACTTTGCTTTGCTAAACAATAACAACACTTTATTACACGACTCGGGAAGTCAGAGGGCCAATAACTAAAATCAGCCAATCAAAATGCTCTATTGCCAGTCAATATTCTCTCATTATTTTTTCGACCTCGTGCTCTCTCCCCCACCTCCCATGGGAATCGTAGGAAACTTACTGGCGGCAGGCAAAATGGGCAGAGGCCGCAACAACAACAAAGGTCACGAAAAACTTTCCACACTTGTTTGGTTTGATAAGAACAGCTAGCCGCGTAAACTTGAGCTGAATTTTTGCTGATGTCAAATTTGTGAAATTAAAGCAGTTCGTCATCGTAGAATAATGAAGATAAGCCTGACAAAGGAACTATGTGGTGCGTAAAATCTATCTGAACTTTTTTCCATCAACGTTATACCGGTAAGTATTCTCCTCTGGAACATATTGTCTTCTTGGCTCCCTCTTCACCCTTTACTAGAAATGCCAGAAATTACAACAGAAAACCAAACTAGTGACTCGCTGGTCGACACAGTAGTGTAAACTTTAAACAATGATCCAACTTTAAGACAACCTTGCATTTGTATCCTTTTAGTTTTGGAGGCTCTCTTTAAAAGATTTATTCATTTTATTTCATGCACTCGTGTGGTATATATCAATCAATGATATGTCAGCTCTTACGGCAGCTGATTTCATTGTTCAAATAAAAGGAGTTTGACTAATGGTCGTGGGTCGTGGGTCGTGGGTACAAGTCGTGGGTCGTGGGTGTGGGTGTGGGTGTGGGTAAAAGTCGTGGGTGTGGTTAATACTTAATAATAAAAATAACCATTTAAAATATTAAATATAATAATACATAAATTTTATACAACCCTGTCATTCATTAATTTAACTGTTCTTTCTTCTAGTTATTTTATTTTGTTTATTCAATTTACCCTACTTTACGTCTATTTTTATCTGTTATCTCACTGTCAATGAAATTAGTTTCAGTTTCGCGACGCATTCCGAGATCTCGTTTGATAACAAAGGGAAGAGAGATAAATCTTGTAATTACACACTGTGTACACGTTTTTCGAGCTGTGCGGTCTGCGGTCTGCGTTCTGCGTTTTCGAGGTCTGTGTTAACGAGACACCCGAGTTGCTTTGTACGATTGTACCAAAAATGATTTCATATAGTAGTACTATAACGTTAAAATTGCGACAGCGCTCGTGAATTCTATATTTGCGGCTAAAGTCAGGGGCCAAGGAACAGAAATTCCGAGATCTCGTCTGACAACATCAATGACAAAAGAATGATAGATAAATCTGGTAATTACACACTGTATACACAAAGAAAAACTGATTGTACACAAGTCGACTGACTCAAAAGGCACACACATAACCTCTGCCAGACTGGTAACTCGACAGTGGAGGATCGTAAACGCGATATTAGCTCTGGTCACACTACAGGGTTTTGTCCTAGGGAAACTTGACTTGTTGACAGTTTCCCTAGGGAAACTCAAATTTGCAAGTGTGACNCTTAGGGAAAAATCGGTCACACTTGCAAATTTGAGTTTCCCTAGGGAAACTGTCAACAAGTCAAGTTTCCCTAGGACAAAACCCTGTAGTGTGACCACAGCTAATATCGCGTTTACGATCCTCCACTGTCGAGTTACCAGTCTGGCAGAGGTTATGTGTGTGCCTTTTGAGTCAGTCGACTTGTGTACAATCAGTTTTTCTTTGTGTATACAGTGTGTAATTACCAGATTTATCTATCATTCTTTTGTCATTGATGTTGTCAGACGAGATCTCGGAATTTCTGTTCCTTGGCCCCTGACTTTAGCCGCAAATATAGAATTCACGAGCGCTGTCGCAATTTTAACGTTATAGTACTACTATATGAAATCAGTTTTGGTACAATCGTACAAAGCAACTCGGGTGTCTCGTTAACACAGACCTCGAAAACGCAGAACGCAGACCGCAGACCGCACAGCTCGAAAAACGTGTACACAGTGTGTAATTACAAGATTTATCTCTCTTCCATTTGTTATCAAACGAGATCTCGGATTGCGTCGCGAAAATGAAACTAATTTCATTGACAGTGAGATAACAGATAAAAATAGACGTAAAGTAGGGTAAATTGAATAAACAAAATAAAATAACTTGAAGAAAGAACAGTTAAATTAATGAATGACAGGGTTGTATAAAATTTATGTATTATTATCTTTAATATTTTAAATAGTTACTTTTATTATTAAGTATTAACCACACCCACGACTTTTACCTACACCCTCACCCACACCCACACCCACGACCCACGACTTGTACCCACGACCCACGACCCACGACCATTAGTCAAACTCAAATAAAAGTCACTTCTGAGACATGGCAGAGTACTTAATGTGAATTCTAAAAATGCTGTAGAATTTTGATTATGTTCAGCTGTTGACAGCCTTCAACTAGTACTCGTCTTGCAACGTTTGAAAGAGAATTTCATTTCACTTACACAACCAATGCATTCCCTCATTTTGCTTCTCATTACTGGCATCTCATTCATCCCTAACCGGCCCACATAAAATATCGATCGATGGAAAATATTTCAGTCCTAAAAAAAAGAAACATGCTCTGAAGTGAAAAAGAATTCATCTCCACCCCATTCGTATTCCTACGACACCAAGTATGACGTCACAGAATTCAAGCAAGGTCAGGAGACTGGCACCGACACAAAGACCAACTTGACCGCCGATTTCACCTGTGTAAAATGAGACAAAAAGGGAAAGCACATCCGCGTGAAAAATACCCGCATGAAAACAACAAGAAGGTGGCAAAGGTTAATTAGAAAGTTAATATTACGTATGAACTCACCCAGCAAACTTTGCAATTCATAGGCGGGTGTTTCCTCAATAACCTGGTAATTCAAATCCTGGTAATACACACGCAGTTCCAGAAAGTTCCGCCTGTTAAAAAAGATAACTTGTTGAATCTCAGAAAGGGATAGATGAGAAATAGGGGAACTCAGTTGGATCGAATGGATCAATAATAGATAAACAAAAATTCATTAGTTGATAAAATATCAAAAAGTGACAATAAACACGTTGTTGATGTACAAATTCGCCAAACTTTAAAATTTTGTTTTCCAGCCTGAAGAATAATAATTCGACTCACATGAAAAACCCCTTAAATTATTAGCTTGCCGGAATGTTTTGTCATGCTAAAGGTAAAGAGCAATTGAAGTTGCGGAAAAGTTATACTTGTTTTGAAAATGGAAATTACTGGTGCGTTTTTCCTGACGATTATAGAAACTAATGGCAAATAAAACGGTAAACAATAAACGGCAGCTAACTAATGCCTTCTGGTCAGTAAAAACTGAACTCCTTGCCCAGTGTTCAGCTGTTGATGTCCTGAAGGCAGTGTGACCTAATGTCATTTTTTTTTGAAAGGGCGCTGGACCAGAACCTCCCCTCCTGGCTAGACTTGTAACTTGAAGGGGTTGGGGGGGGGGGGAGTTGGGTTCAAGCTCTTCACCATACTACTCGCTAGATTTTTTCTCAGTTGCCCTAAGTTAAACTCCTTGGCTAGCGCTGTTCTAAGTACATGGCCAACTGGTCTGCCTTCAGCCGGGTGGGATTTTAAAACTCTATTTTTATTTTAAATGTTTACTTTCAATTTTTTTTATACTTCCCCTGAAAAGCCCCATTGGGGAAGTGGTCTATGAATATTATTATTATTATTATTATTATTATTATTATTGTTTAACATCTACATCAGCTATGACTGTGACAAAGTTATTTTTATTATTGTTTTCCTTAAGATGGAGCTAGTTTACAGAAAAAGTTAGAAATTACAATCAGAAATCACCTTTACCGTTTGTAGTTAGCGTTGCCATAAACGTTTGGCTTGATCGAACCATGCTAATTGCATACACGATTACCTTAACTGTTCTTGTCCTTCTTTGATTTGTTCCAATGTCAAGTTATCGTTATTTCCCGCTTCTTTGACACCACGTGACAAATATCCTTCGCTAGGGAACGCAGCGTATGACAATGACGGTTTATAGGAGATCGCGTCACAGGGCACTCGACAATCACACTGATCTTCCTTTAAAGTTTGAAACTTGGCTGAAATTAAAGATGAAATGAAGGGGAGGCGATGGCATTAGATAGCTCAAATATTGGATATACACTGTACATCAAAGAGCTCTGTTGTTCTAAGAGAAGATAACGCTATCCAATGGATAAACCGCTATCCAGCGGATGAGTGTGAAAAAAGGCACATGCAGTGCGCTTTGCAACGGTTTTCCACCCTTAGAAAAACCGAGGCCAGGAATTGAAATGAGCAACATATTTGATACAGACGTACCTTTAGCTTTAAACAGGCATCTCAGTGTTCGGTTGTTTGAGCAGTGTTTGGTGCCGTTCAACTCTATTCAACAGGTTGTAAGAGGAATATTTACAATACATATTCATAACGCTTGAGTGCTGGAACAGCACGGTCATGCGGAACAAAATTAAAGGCATGCTTACACAATGAGTTAAAAGACGAGTTAAATAGATAGCAATCAGCCTCCCGTAAATTTTATTATTAAAAACTAGATCATTGGATAATGAAACTCAAGACTTTTTATTGGCTTAGCCATTATGGTATATCAGCCAATATACCAAAATCTACAAATATGGCAAGCGTACGTGTCAGCTTAAAATTAAAAGGGAGCTAAAAATTTAATAAAATTTAATAATTTAATTTAACGTTTTTGATAAAACAATTATTCCACTCGCGCTTGTTGGATATGAGATGATTATAGCCAACTCGGCGCTACGCGCCTCGTTGGCTATCTATCATCTCATATCCAACGCGCGCTCGTGGAATAATTGTTAATTACACGGACATGTGCGTATTTTCACCAACACCTCATTCCAAAATGGTGGAGAATACTGATAATATTTTTACCATTATCACCCATTGTTCAGTTACAATTTTCGATTCTTCATGAATTTTAAGGATGTGATCGAAGTAAAAATGGTACTTATTATCAAACTGCTACTATTTTAGTGTGAAGTCTATTCAACAATTCATACTTGCAGCGATAATTCATACAGCAATAATATAAGGCCCTCTTGACCTAATTTTTTAATTACTTCTTCATTTTCCAGGAAAAAAAGGTGTCAATTTCGGGATGACCTTGTACGTGAAAAGTTAGCAACCTCTCAAGAGATTTTCAATCGCAATTTTCTCCTATCAAATGTCAATTTATCGTTCCAAACAAGAAATTGCTATGGTTAGTTTAGTAATTAAGAAGATAATCGTTTTAAAACTCACCTGACATTTCTACGCTCCTACATCCGCACTCTTTGATCACAAACCTGGTCTCACAAAGCAACATACATGATGAAATTGTGTACGTCGTGAAATCAGGTGTACCATCCATCATTCCATCGTAGCAGTTACTTTCGTACGGTTTTGGGAGATTAATGACCTTTGAAAAATCATGAGACAGAGGGATAGAGAGACTCTGAGAATATTAATCGGATGAGAAAAGACTTACGTGTATTGTGACGCATATGGATATTAATTTTTATATCCCTCACTGACTCTGTTTGATAAAGCGAGTTTGGGCCATAAATGGTCCGACAGCCCGCTTCCAAGGAGAGCCAAGGCTTCGCTAAAGGAAACATTAGAAACAAAACGAAGAAAGAAAAGAATGAAAGAAAGAAAAATAAAATGCCGTGGTGTTTCAGATAGGATATCTGACGTAAGGAAGCGAGAAGATGTTGCTTCCTTTCTTCAAACGTTTAAACACTAGCGTGAAAACTATCTCATTAGCTGTGAGCAAGAAATTGCTGAATGCCATCACTATTTTGGTATTTATATCCATATAGATTAGTAACAAATCACACTTGTTTTCGAGATGTACTTTTAACAAGGTCAATGGGGCTGAAAAGGAACAAGGAGGGCGCGTTAATTAATACTTAGTGAGGTGGTCTCACGGACATAAATATACTGAACAAGTAATGAATACGCTGAATAATCTGAACATTAACGCCCGGCGCGGCAGACCTCTTCCCCTTTACTATGATGCTCACCCTCTGTTTTTGTATCCCTGCAAATACACTTGTGCCAGGACTGACAGCAAATCCAAGCTGAGAAACCATAGGCAGAGTATTCTGATGATGAACACGTACCCTGAGGCCGGCATCACGAGATTCAACTCCAAAATATTCATACTGCTGTACGTTTAGCATCATATAAAGTCCAAAATCTGCTCCTGCTTCATTGACCTTCAAAACACTTTGACCGTTCTTTCCTGCAAAATCATAAAATCAATCATTTAATCCATCCATCACGGTCCGTCTGTCTGCCCGTCCGTCCTTTCGTGCATACCCACTCAGTTCATCTATCATTAGTCAGTGAATAAACCAGTCTGTTAGTCTTTACATCGATTGATCGACCTTCATTATTTCGTTCCCAGCTCTACCCGTTCGTGTGTCCCTATTCCATATCGTGTATCCATCCTTTCATTCGATCGTCCTGTCATGTTATCATCATGATTCGTGACTCTTCCCTCTTTTCTTCGTACCAAAGAACATAAAAATGCTTTACCGCGAGTGAATAGTAATAATAAAAAGAAACGTCAAGCATAAGTTTAAGTATCAAATGTAAAAAATCACTGTATATTGCTGGCCTTCCTTTTGAAACAGAAGATTTGCGTAGATCGGAAGTGGCCTGTATAGTTACAATCAAGTCTTGAACAATTTTATCGCTTTTTCACTCAAGATAGCAGACTCAATCCACAATTTCAATTTACTGCCAACTAGCTTTAAAATTCAGAGCGGTTTCAACAAATGTATGCATCTTCGAACAGTAGCAAGATTTTCCACGGGCCGATTTTGCTCGTGTACCTGGAAAGTTCTTCCGTCGGTAAGGAAAAAGTCAATAACTGAGAATTTTATAAATTGACGTTCTCACCCATTGCTGGTTTTTTGTAATGATTCGACGCATTTTTTCATCCTGAGCCTTATCGAGAAACGAACTTTACGACTTTTTCGTCGGGAATGGATCCTATTATTTTCACTTATTACGAAATGAAGTCAACTTTTCGTGTCAGCAAAGGGCTATTGTGTCTATATAACAAAGAAAATAATACATGGTTGCTTGTAGATATGAACCCTAAACGTTGTAACTCGCTGCATTGCAAATACTTATCGAGGTAATATGATTATAAATTGGAGCCTGGATGCCTAGAATTGAATTTATTATAAAAAAAATCACTTGGACAGATTCTCAAAGCAAAAAAGGAAGTCCCAAAACATACCTGAATTAAATGTGTGGCAAAGCCCCATAGAACTCATCACTGGAGTGAAATTCCTGTAATCGCAGGTCTGTTTACTGTTCCAAACACAATAAGCTAAGGTATCATTGATTTGATGTCCCGCAGCATAAAAAAGTTGTGTTATGTTAATTACTTTGTTGAGGTCTACACTTTTATTAGCAACTGCGTCTAGTCCTAAATCTTCAATAACAGAATTTCTGAACTTGTTGAAGTTACAAATAGTCACGGCTGGAAAATCCGGCTTCGCATCGTATTTCAAACTGACTTTTGTAGTGTTTGGAAAGCTGAAATACTTCTTCAACATTGTAAAGGACTGGTACGAAACAAAGACAATTGCCACCAAAAGAAACACAGCCCAGAGAATGCGACGAATCCTCGATTTACTGGTAACCACATAAGCTAAACCATGAAGTGTTGTACTTTCCACAAAATCATTCCATCGTTCCCTAATTGCAGACGTTCTGGACGTACCTTCTTCAGATACGTTACTACACTCGGGGTTTACTTTGTTCCTCATCGTGCTACTTAGTTCTGAATCATTTTGCTCTGATCCTTCAGTTCCTGACATTTCTAAAACAAAAAAACCGCCTGGTTGAGTTTTGGAAACATTCATTTTTGTTGTTAAAACCAGAATAAAATAATTTTGAAACGTAGCCTAGATTGCTTGTACGCTTGCGGTGTTTTTAATGCTAATGGAAGAAGTTTTCATAAGGGCCGGGCCAATCACACAGCGGTATTTCGTATTACGCGATACATTCTGAAAATCCGCCGACTTCGAAAAAATCGTGATCTCTACAACGTCAACAATTTTTCTTGCAAATAAGCTTTGGATCCCTCTCATGTAGCTGAAATGACGTCTATAAAGTTTAACTCACAGACATGACAGCCCGGCGATTAATTACAAAACATTCAGTTCTTCGTAAAAGCAACAGCTGGATACATGATATTGAAGATGCAAAACAAAGAAAAGGGAACTAGCCTGCAATTAAGTTTTAACTCCCCTCATTTGAGGATATGGAATAACATCAAGAAAAACAGAGAGTGCAATTTAATGCGCTTTTGATTAGGCTGTTGCTAAGGTTAGGTTTGTTGGCGCCATGAATCCTGAATCTTAACATCTCATTAAATATTATCGACAAGAGGACGTTTGGCAAGGTTCAAATTGGCGCAAAAATAGTGATGTTCTTAACTGATATTAATTTCATTATAATTCTGCCTTGCTTTATACAGTAAGATAGCTTAGTTTTTTTTTTTTTTTTTGTTATATTTGATTTTCCTTTTACTAGCATTTTTGTCCGAAAAGGGCCACTGACAATTACTGAATTGACGCCATGTAATTATTTATTAAAAATGTATATATATACGAAAGTTGTACTAAGCCCTTCGGTGAGCTCAAAGCAATTGTTACGAAACAGTATATGGAGCTGACAAATTAGGGCATCATTGTAGACAAGTACTCCATCAGTTCTTATCCTCATAGTTTGTCGTAGAGTTAAGAGATACATGTCGATTCAACTTAGAAATAGGATTTTGGGTATTCTCTCATTCACCTTAAACTATTCTAGAAGTCAATAATCATGAATCGTGTTCAATAATTAAGAGAGGCTGTGCTTGCTTTAGCCAAACACATTCCAACCGTTGAAGTCCGTTCTCTAGGAATCCCCAAGCGCTCACGGCAATGGGGATCCAGCTCGAGCTTGTGATCAGGCCTGCAAAAAGCGTTGAAATTAGGGGAGAGAAATGAAGACTAGTGATAGACTGAGAATATTCATATTCGTTAGTAATGAATATGAATATTACATTTTGACCAGCTTCCAGTAGCCTTGACAACTCGGTTGGAGAACCTGCTACACCGCTATTAAGAAAAAGTCATGGGCTCAAATCCCTATGTTTTTTTTCACCTTTTTATTTCCACCATAGAAAGAAAATCGTCGCCTTTATCTAGTTATGGTAAAACATTATCAAGATTTCGGAGACCACAGCTGGATCAATCTGGGGATAAATTTCTTTGCGTAACTAACCACGCAATTTAATGTTGAAGCATGACTGAACTGAAGTACGTAATTGAATTATCCTTTATCAGAATGGAAGTCACGTCGCTCCATATCCAAGTCACCCCAATCTTCCCTCAGTCACGTAAAGCCCAGGCTGAAGGTCCTACCTCCCAGGTGTGGTCACACAGCCAAACTTTAGATCGACTAAAGTCGTCGATAACCTATCGCGACGCCACTAACATTTCTTTACTAAAGAATTGACCAACAAATTATTTATTGGATTCAACAGATTTACAGACTTGGTGAGTTGAGTTGACAGATAGTAACATAGAAATATGGAGGATTGATGTTGGTTACTCTGACCGAGCGCTGGCCTGGCGGAGTGGGAGTTGGGACGGCAATGCTACCGCAGTCGCTTTTGCATCCTATTGCATTTGAACGGTGCGAGTATGATACAGATCGCTTTCTAAACTAAAGAAGATGTGCTTTACCTAAACATGACTGATTACAGAGAGAACTATTTCTGCACTAACAGGCTACCTAAACATGATTCATGTGACAAAATTACGCTGAATTCAAGAGCAGACTGGCTAACAAGCTTGTTAAGCTGTGATTAAACGAGGCGAGGGGACGGAAGGGGTTTGCAAAAAAATTGACTTGTTCATTCAAGTATAATTATAGACTTAACTTTGGAAATAAATCTTATCTTCATCAGGTGATGCGTGGATCGGCGAAAACTTTTAATTGTTACTGTAGTCTAAGGCCTCGCTAAAAAGAATCATATCGTTCACTCTGTAAGTTTATCTAAATCCCAACCGTATCCCGACGATAGCAATTATGACGTCAAAGAACTCAAGCACGGTCAAGAGACTGGCGCCAACACAGAGACCAACTTGACCGCCGATTTCACCTGTAGTGAAAAGAAAACGGTTGAGGTCTCAGTCTTTTGAACTCCCTATAACAATTATAATGAGACAGAATAGGATCGCTCTTCAATTTATAATTGTACCAAACTGAGGTCACGTTTGGCCTGGACTTTTTCCAAAAGTGACAATCTGAAGGAAGCTGTCAGTCATCCGCGTGATTGACCAAAATTAAGCCTTCCCAGGGCCTTGCTCACCGGAAAATTTGATTTCTCTGTACTAACTGATTCTTTTTGTCCCAGACGACTGGATCCACGCGCCATGCACTTCAAGAGATCTTAAAATCCATTTGTAGATTTTAGGCGGACACTTACCTAACAGACTTTCGTATTCATAAGCTGGTATTTCCTCGATGACTTGGTAATTCAGATCTTGAAAATACACTCGCAGCTCCAGCAGATTCTGGCTGTTGAGATATTCAATATGAAATGAAACTTATGTGGCAAGTTGCTGATTACAGGGGTGTAAAATTGTTACAGTTGGTCAACGCGCAGCTTGGGTTACCATACGGGATATCTATATTTTCATGCATGCGCGGTGACGGCATCTTCAAACGTTGCCACGAAGCCACCGAGTTAAAATCTCTATATCGTTACCTATATCGTTCAGTTTTTCTCGATTCACGGTCTTAGTGTTGCGTTAGTCAAGGTAAGATTGAGTGGGAGTTTTCTCGAAGCCTTGATTGTGAAGGATTTTTGATTAAAAAGTTTTGATTCTACAAGGTTTGTCATTGTTTGCGGTAACAAAAATCTTAATCCTCTACTTAATTTCACTGAAACACAGATCGTTCAATCGGCGCGATCAGATATTTTCAAGTATCATTTTCCAACTGTGATATTAGTATTTTCTGATTTAACTAGCTTTTTATTGTTTTCTTAATCTATTTTTCCCATAAATTCGTCAAGAATCTTTTACATTAGTAACGAGACATAATTACAGTGTGGTGGTTGTATGGACATGACCTGAACAGAAACTGCCTCATCACAAATAATTGAGAGCTAGAACTCGTATCCTGACCTTTGTGTGATAACAAGAGAATACAAACTGGTGATAGCAAACAACACAATGACCTCATAAATGAAACAGCAGTTGAACAAAGTAGAAGATAAAAAAAAATTCAGACTACAAAGGAGCTACTCGGCTACCAGCTAAGCTAGTTGTTATAACCCTTAACTTATCACTAAAATGTATCTGGTCATATTTAGGGGTTTATGAAATTTGATTTTAGTTCAAGATCAAATTCTAAGTAGCCTTTAATTTATTTTAACCCTTGACGGAGGCCCTCTGTAGTTCCAATAAAAAAACAGTGCTAGGAACCGGAGGAGAGAGGATTTTCCCATCCAGCAACGCCTTCTTCTGTTATGAATCTAACCGTTGTGTACCTTATTCGTTGTCAAAGCACGTTCACACCCTCGTCTACCTTTTATCTATCTATTCGCTCCGACGAAGGGCTAACGCTCGAAACGTCAGCTTTTGTAATCGTTACGGTGGCTAATTTACTATTTCAACTTTGTTGATATATCTAAATTATTTCGTTACTCCCACCGACGCAGTCTCAAACAGTTTCTTTCGAAACTATCAGCCTTTACCTTTTATCTAACCGTGCGTACCTAATTTAATGTCAAAGCTTGTTAACTTTTGTTTGACTTTTGCCCAACCACCTAAAATGTTTTAGCTTCCCAGCTCAAAGCAATCTTCACCTTTTGAAATTACAATATGAATACCTCGTTATTTCTTGTTCTTCTTTCAAAAGATCTGCTGTAGTATTGGATACCCCAAGTTCTTCGGCTAAACTGGCTAGGAAATTGTTACTCGGAAAGGCAGCGTATGACAACATGGAATTGAAGGAGATGGAATCACAAGGCACTGGGCAGTCACACTGGTTTTCTATTCCTTTGTGAAAGTTGCCAGAAAGGAGAAATAAAACCTCTTAACACTAGTGTTATTTTACCTTTCATGTACATGGGACTGAGTTAACCGCCTCCGGTTACCGCATTTATCCGTGTATATAAGTCGACCCCTCATTTTCAAGGTCAAAAATCAGATTTTTTATAATTTCTAGTAAAGAAAAATTCAGACCGATAGAAATGTCCCAAATGGCTGATCTCTTATTTTTGAGAATGTGTTGAAAACACGGTGAATTAAAAAAAAAAAGAAAAAAAAACTGCAGAGCAAAACCGTGTGCTGTGAAGTTTAGTAGCACTTGTTTACATCACCACGATTCACGATTTAAGCAGATGCGAGCGCTTCAATTTACTGGAGAAGTAATTTACCATATTTTGTAAATCGCTTTGAAAACGAAATCTTCATACATTTAAATAACCTTTTGAAAGGAGATTTAGTAGACCGGAGGAACACCGAAGAGCTTCGAAGGATTACTTGATGAAAACTCACCGCCATCTTGGAAACTACACAATAACATAATTGGTCCACGCGCGTAACAACGTATCAAGAAAAGTGGCTCAACTTTGATAACAATAGGCTTTGCTAGTCAAGTGAAAAATGACCCTATATGGGCATTTTTGAAAAATGGCTCTATAGGGTGGGATGGGTGGGATGGGTGGGTGTCACAGGGCCCCATTTAAACCAGCTATTAGCTGAACTGGGATACCCTGTCTAAATATTCGTTGAATAAAAGCCCCATTGTCGACATTGTCATAACATTTTGAAAGGACCGGCGGGAGAAGTGAACTCTTCTGAAAAAGCTTTTGAGGGTATGCGATGAAAAGCGAAGGGAGACCTCCAGTTACATCTTGGCCTGTCTCATCCATTTGTGATGACAGAAAGTTCCCTAACATCCCCAACCAGCTCTGTCGCTTACTGTTTCAAGTTTTTTTTTTTTTACCTTTGGGCCAAAAACAAGCGGATTTAACATCTTTGTATTGTAATCATTAGAAAGCAAGTAACACAAAATTCTACATACTCGTCTGTTTCGCTTGGCAGTTCTTGATTTCACGCAATCCACAGACTTTGGTGTTGTTAATATCTGTGAGAAAGTCGAGAGAAGAGAGAACTAACAAGAGTGCCCATTTTTCTTCTCGGTTATTATGAAACACGAACACCATGTTTTCAGTACACGCATCCATTAATCTGTTAGGTATGTAGTCACCTTGTCCCAAAGCTCCGGGTGACGCCTAGCTAACAAATAGAAACGCACCTTTAATGACTTACCTGGCATCAAAGCATCCCTGCATCCACACTTGTCAATAACAAAGTTGGTCAGACAAACCGCTTCGCAAGAAGGAATAGTGTACTTGCTAAAGCCAGGTATGCTTTTGATCTCTTTGTCGTGGCAGTTGCCTTCATAAGGTTTTGGAAGATTGAGGATCTGCGGTTGAACAAAACTTACATTCAGGAACGATTCTCAATTGAGTTTCAAAGGAATTCCAAATTGTTTTGATTCACTTCACTACGTGCTTTATACTATGTCCAGAAGACTTACCTACCTCCAATAATCGAGAACTCTAAAAGTGTGCGAGATGCTAACATAACAATTCAATGAAAGTGAATCCTAAAAATGCAAGAGAGACTAACGTAACAATCCAATAAATGAGATATCTTAAAGTAAAGTGGGCGAGCTGCTAACGTAAGAATTGAATGAAAAACAATCCTGAAAGCGTGAGAGATAGGAAGGAAACAACCCAATGAAAGAGAGTCCTAAAAGTGTGTAAAATATTGACAAACCAATCTGATTAAAGGGAATCCTAAAAGTGCGCGAGGTACTGAACGTAACAATCCAATGAGAGAGAATCTTAAGAGTGCGCAAGATACTAATGTAACAATCCAATGAGAGAGAATCCTAAGAGTGCTCGAGATGCTAACGTAACAATTAAATGAAAGAGAATCCCAAAGGTGCGCGAGATACTAACGAGACAATCCAATGAAAGAAAATCCTACAAGTGCGCGAGATACTAACAAAACAATCCAAAGCAAGAGAATCCTAAGACAGTACGAAGTACTAACGATACAATCCAATGAAAATGAATCCTAAAAGTACGCGATATACTAACGAAACAATCCAATGAAAAAGAATCCTAAGAGTGTGCGAGATACTAAGAAAACAATTCAGTAAAGAGAATCCCAAGAGTGCGCAAGATATTAACGAATTAATCCAACAAAAGAGACATTTTAAAGTGCAGTCATAGGGACTAACGCGACCTTTCAATGAATGAGAACTCTTAAGGTGCGCAAGATGCTAACAAAACAATTCAGTGCAGAAATGGAATTCTAAAAGTACACGTGAGACTAACATAAAAGGCAATTCAATGAAAGAGAATTCTAAAAGTGGGCGAGATGCTAATGTAACAATTGAAATAGGTGCACAAGAGAGTGACGTAACAATCTAAAGAATGAGAATCCTAAAATTACGCAAGACGTTAACGTAACAATTCAATAGGATTTTACGATTTGGCTGAGGTTCGCTCCAATTTCTCTAGCTCTGGTAATCTATTGAATTAAGAAATAAAAATGTCTTTGTTAGCTGTTGTTTCGCCAGTTAACTCAGGAAGTTAAACTTTAACTGGGCTTTTACTAATAAGAAAGTTCCATTTTCCGCGGAACTTCTGCTTAATCGGAAGACCCTTCTGAAAAAAAACTCTAAAAGTGCGCGAGATGCTAATGTAACAATTCAAGGAAAACGGATTCTAAAAGATATTTTGCGAGTTGTTTTCCAATCGTCGTGAATTATAGTTTTCAGAGATGCGACTTTTGTCGCTCAGGATCACGGGATGATGAGCATATTTATATGGTTCTCAGACTGAAAAGCTTTCACTCTTTAGATTTACATATCAATTCCTCCCACTGACTGTCACACATCTTTGATCTGAGCGAGACCTTTTTCAGTAACGCTTTCCACACTTGAGCCCTTGAGCTGGCAAAACTAAGTTCACATAAAAAATCCGAGATCAGGAGTATTAGGCTAAGTTCACACGCGGTGCTCGAGCATGGTGCTCAAGTACGATTCTTGATGAAAACTAACGTGAAGACTTTTTTTTCAAGTACCCACGCCGGAATACGGGCACCAATTTATCAGGTACCCAGTATCTGAACACAGCACCATTTTATGCCGGTGTCCTAGCACTAATGCTCAGGTATCAAGCTAGTGTGAACGCAGCCTAAGACAATGTAATCGCTTACCCTCAGTTTTTTTAACGCCACAAATGTACTCGTACCAGGACTCACAGCAAAGCCAAGCCGAGAGACCAATGGCAGAGTCTGCTGATCATGAATAAGAACTTTGAGGCCGGCGAGATATGATGTTATCCCGTAATATTCCCTTTGTTTAACGTTTAATATCAGGTGTAGTCCACGATCGGAGCCTGCCTGCTTCACTTGCAATATACGTTGACCATCTCTTCCTGACAAAAATATAACAAAATAGCAAAAGCAATGTTGTAAAAAGATACACAGAGAGAAAAAAAAGCGCTACAGACTGTGTCGTCACGTACGGTTATCGCGAGTCTCCGAGAGGAAGGGAAATGATGCAGAAACACGCATTTGCCTTTGCCAAACTAGTCTTCTCAGCCATTCAGGAATGTCACGCAACATTCTACCAAGCTCCCTCCAACCAAGCAACATTGCTTTTCAGAATAGGCGGCCAAACACAGAGAACTTTTTGGAAAGCTTCCCGAGTCAGTTTCGCTCCTAAAGACTCTTCCAATCTGGGAAAGCGTTGCGGAACATCTCAAAGAACGGCTGCGAAGATTGCTATTGTCAAAAGAGTGAACATCAAGTGCAAAATTTCCTTTATCCTCAATCACAGCTAACGGCTCGAGAAATAAGTTTTCCTTGAAACTGTCTTTGTGCACCTTATCTAGCTTTTAAGAACAGCTGATGAAGCTTTTGTTTTCTTTCGGCGTGTGTTTAATTTAATTTGCTTTTCGAACAGTGAAATATAACTTAGAGTACATCGTTCAACAGACAGGGAATGAAATACAAGAAAACTGTTGACTAAGGAATATTAAGGATTACAATTACCAGATAAGGAAGCCTCCTTCACCGCGCTCTGTTCTGTTGTAAAGCACACAGAGGGCGGCTAGAACAAGAAAGAAGTGTAAAGGGAAACACGAGACTTAGTCGCCCTACTTCTTCGGGTTGTTCCTACAGTTTTTCCTGTAACAACTGAAGCCAACAGCTCGTTTTCATTTTCGTTTGATAGGTTAGACAAGACTTGCGAGTCAGTAAACGAATAAAAGCTGGAGAAAAGACCGGGAAATGGTCAGACATTTAACAAATTGGCAGAAGGCATGACAGCTTTAGCTCAGTGTTTTGTAGTCTGATAAAACACGCCGCTTTTAATCAATGAGAGCGCGCGTTATATCCGAAGTTTTTTTTATAAATGGCTACTAAAACTCATTACCGACTGCGTTTACTTTTTTTTTGAGATTTATTTAACAATATAGTACACTGTAAATACATCTGTGTTTATGAAAGGCAGTCCAAAAGTTGTCTTAAATACATTGTTTTTGTCGTGTAAACTTGAATATGTGATTTTGATTAAAAAAAAATTTAAAAGCTACAAAACTATAGGAAGATGTTTTTCGTCTAGTCACGAGCGTGGGACAAAAAAAAAAATTCTGAGTCCCTAATAGGACTCAAACCTCAGACCTTCGGATTTCAGTCCTCCGATGCTCTACTACTGATCCACAGAGACTCTAGTGGTGAGCAAGGCCCGTTACTAAGTTCATATTTGACACGCATCCTGCATACTGCTAGGATCGGCAATGTCAAAAGTGTCATGTTTTGTAAAGAATATTAAGAAAGATGGTAAGTTTTGAGCGTTGAAATCCGAAGGTCTGAGGTTCGATTGTTCCTAGGGACTCAGCATTTTTTCTTTGTCCAACGCTCGTGACAAAGACAGAAAAACATCTTTCTGTATTTCTTTACCGAGCTCACAACTTACCATCTTTCTTATTCTTTACACAACTGCAAAACTGTTTTCGTGTTTGTTTTTTGCCTGTTTTTCTCCTCTCCCTTTGGCATTGTTTTGTTTTTTGCATTACTTTAATGTTTTCTTAATCTTCTCTTTTTCTAATCATTTACCAGCCGAAGTTAAAGTTCTTGTTGTAATCTCAAAATCCACTTGTGAATAGTTGAAAACTTATATTGCCTCTGTGTAAACATGTGTGTTTTAACGAGCGTTAATCTTCCGTAAACTTGACTGATTTTCATGCATTTGTTTTTTTTTAATGACTTGCTTAATATCTGTGTCAACGTTCCTTAAAGTGTTCCCTTACCATATAAAGTAATCTAAAAGCAGAACACTCAAATACAAAATGGAAAAGGAAACAGCTTTCAAGAGAGCAGAGAGCGCTTTAGCAACACCTAGCTCATTACATACTCTTAAGTATGTAAGATCGTAAATTTTTAAGAAAGTGGATCTCTTAAGTAACCCACCGTCTCAGCGCATACATTCTCACTAAAAAGATTTGTTCTAACGATCTCCATGTTTGACATTGTGGGCGCCCGAAACAAGTTACCCAGTGTTTCATACCCTCTTTTGTAAATATACCATTTTTCAAATATAATTTAGTTTAAGCAGGAGCGAGCCGAATTTTTAGCCTTTTTTTTTTTTTTTTTTATCTTTTTGAGGATTTAACCAGAATCGTTGTAACACAGGATACGTGATTTGAAGACTTTTATGTTTTTTATGCAGATAATCGATAGCACAATAATGAAATCAATTTTTAGTAATCAGCCCTGTTACCAACAATATTTGAATTTGAAACAAATTACCCAACTTTTCATGTCTTCTTTTGTAAATATACTAATTTTGAAATATAATTTAGTTTGAGTATGAGTGAGCCAAATTTTTAGCCTTTTTTTTATTTTAAACTTTTTGAGGACTTATCCAAAATCATTGTAACACAGGATACGTAATTTAAAGACTTTTATGTTTTTTATGCGGATAATCGATAGAGCAATAATGAAATCGATTTTTAGTAATCAGCCCTGTTACCGACAATATTTG